TAATATGGTATGTTTGCTAATTTAATGAAGCATATTAAAGTAATACCTTTATTTAAATCTGGTAGTATATTCAGACCCCGCCATTTTAGACAAATTTCTGTACTCCTAACACTTAGTAAGATTTTTGAAAAAATTATTCCTGATCAAATGTTTTTTTTTTTTAATATCAATAGTTTACTTCACGTTTCACGAAGGGTCGCTCGACAACTGATGCCGGTGTTGAGCTGATTAAATATATTTTAAATCATGGGAGAATTCACAGGATGCTTTGGGTATATTTTGTGACCTATCCAAAGCCTTCGATTGTGTTCACCATGAAACATTAATCAGGAAACTACAACACTACGGTGTAAGAAGTAATGTCAATAACTTGCATTTAAATGGATGTAAAATGTAGAATGGATAGAAATTGAAGGAATGATATTATAGGATGTATTATATATTATACGATGATAATAACCCCTGGGAACTAGGTGATCGCTTCCAAGCTATTTCTTATTTGTTTTGTGAGGTTAATTGTGTAACATACATGATGGTAAGCTGTTATTTAAAAAAAGTCCCGCCACGTTTCTTGTGTGTTCTTCCCAGGACAGAGGTTTGTTTTTGTCGAACCAGTGGTAATTAAAGAAAAGAGTGACTTTCAGTAAGTATTATTTATAATCTATATTGAATAAAAAAGTTTCTGTTTCTTTTTCTGTTTCTAACATGCTTTCCTTGCTCCCGTGCCATAGTGCTAATGACTTATGTACATATAATCTATACAAATAAATAAAATTCAAGTCTCTGTTTGTAATGTCAAAATAACAGCTTTTTATTATGAAAATATATGCGGTACTTATAACCAAAACACGATTTTTAAAATTTTTGTCTGTCTGTCTGTCTATCCGTCTGTTTGTTCCGGCTAATCTCCGAAACGGCTGGACCGATTTTGAACGGACTTGTCATTGGCAGATAGCTGGTGTTATAAGAATTACTTATGTTACTTTTATTTTAGAAAAATAATTAGGGTTCCGCGAAAAAATTAAAACCCATGAAATCCAATCGTAATAAAAAATACGCGCGAGCGAAGTCGCGGGGAACAGCTAGTTTTAAATAAAACAGGAGACCCGTGTAGGTAAAACAGGCATGGAATATGCTTTTTCTCATCGAAAATATTCCACTGGAAGTTAACCAACAAAACCAGTGAGATATTCCGTTGGTACGATTTGTGCAGAAAGATTTGTTTCATAATTTCCATAGTGAACACAAAAAAAGTGGAGGCTTGCCTTCTAGCTGTTTTGACTAAGGAATCTAGTAACTGGTTACACGCTTTACCATCAAGTGATCTTGGCACATTACTTAATGGTGAAAGCTTGCACATAGCCGTAGGAATCCAACTAGGAGCGGCAATTTGTTAACCTCATCCATGCTATTGTGGTTGCAGCGTCGACGAGTTTGGACTCCACAGACTTTCATGTATGAAAAGTGCTGGTAGGTTTTCCTGTCACGGTTCTTTGAACGAGGTCATCCAAAGAGCTCTGGTCTCTATAAATATTGCCTCGGTTTTAGAGCCTTGTGGAATATTTAGAGACGATTGCAAAAGATCCAGTATGACTATGGTATCTTAGGAAAAAGGTAAAGTCTTAGTGTGGAATTCTACTTGCGTAGACTTTTGCAGCCTCTCATTTCGTCTCTTCTGTACCACGTTTATAGCCGGGGCGGTATCGGAAACAGCTGAACTAAGTGACGCAAATATGTGTCTCTGAGGGAAGACTACATATTTGTGTCATTTCTTGTAGAGACTATCGGTCCGTGGGGTCCACGTGTGGTGAAGTACCCAAAAGAACTGTATCCGCGAATGGCCGTCGATTCTGGTGATAAGAGGGCTGATTCTTATCTCACTTAAAGGCTAAGTATAGCCATTCAGTAAGGATTAGCAGTCAGCGCTCTTGGCGCAATACCACGGGGAGTAAAAATGTAAGATAATTTAAGTTTATGTTTTTTTTTATATTGTATAAGTTAACTTAAAATGACAAATATTTAAACGGTTCATTAATAATTGGACTGGTATATTTTTTGGACTCGTCACCAGTAACGATTTATGAAACACACCTAGATGCCCCGTTTCCAAATCGTAGACACATTTCATGGCACCAATCCACACGAGTCTGTTTTTCGCTTTCGGAGAGCAAACGAGAGATCCATCGACAACAAAGGTTTCTCACTCCAAGATGTTGATGTAGGATGGTATGAATGCTCCCTGAACTAATGCCTACAATCTTTTCGATATCTGTATATGTGATTCGTGGGTCTTCTCACACCAACATTTCAGTAGTCCGTACATTTTCTGCTATTACTGCTGTTTGCGGGGCCCTGGTTCTTTGTTCGAAAAGAATAATAAATTTAAGACTAATTTTACCCCTTTTGAATTCAGCAAACTACCTAAAAATTGTTGCGCGTGATGAAGCTATGTCCTCTAATGCTGATTGTAGCCGTTGTAAACTTAATTGTTCGATTAAACCAAAATTAAAATCATAACATATCACAGTGCGCAAATATTCACGGTTAAGATCCACCGTTTTAAATAAAAAGCGAGGGAAGCGTTCCAGGAAAATTAATAGAACTTTTTTTTTAATATTGGCTTCTATTTTAAATAAATTTGCTCTTTAGAAACATATAACACGGGTGCGTTCCATGACTAATATTCCCGATACATAATCTAGGTAAAGTTAAAATGCTTGTGATAAGAGTGGCTTACGGCAGTAGATGGTTGACAGTTTCTGACAGACCTCTTTCTATTGTTTGTTTGTAATATATACTCGTAAATATAAATATAAAAACTATGGCGGATCAGGGGCGAAACGCTTGCCGTGCATATCATAGTACGCGATGAACCTGCGTTCAATCCTCGCTGAAAACATAATTATTGTTAAGTATAATGGTAAGTGCTGATTTACTACGTGCTAGCCGGTGAAGAAAAATATTAAGTGTCAAACTGCATGTCCGAGGAACAAAAATATATTAAAGACTGTATGGTCAATCTAACGTGTACTATATCTATGCTTGACACTAAACCACGAGTTAACCTTCTAGTTCACGACTACCTTGTGGAATCGATTACCATCAGCGATTTTTCCGGACCGATACGACTTAGGGACCTTCAAGAAAAGAGCGTACTCCTTTTTAAAAGGCCGGCAACGAATCTGCGATTCCCTCCCTGGTGTTGCAGCTGTTCATGGGCGGCGGTAGTCACTTACCATCAGGTGAGCCGCATGCTCGTTTGCCCCCTCTCCTATATAAAAAAAGTTATACTAATAACTCTATGGTGGACTTTTTTGGAAGTTTTTATTATTTTCCCATGTAAACTCATTTTATCGACAGACTATATGCATGGTTGTTAATTTGGTAGCACTGTTCATTTTTAATTTTTAATCTAACCTACTTACTTTATCCTCTTGTCTTATACCTCTATAACACTACCCTGAATTAGTTCATTATTCTAACAATACATAGTATAAATAACATGATCTCTCGCACCTGTTACCCAGAGGAGCAGCCAGAGACCAGACTTCCATTTGTCACGATCCTAACACTGTCGCTTCTTTGACATCCATGTAACTACGCATAGATGCTCATAGGTTAAAAGTACTCTTAATTTAGCCTAACTTAAAAATATTGCCAATTGGATCGATAAACGTTGGTATAGGGTGACCCTTAATGACTCTGCCACTCGCTTCAGCAACATAAATTTGCTATATCACTCTTTCCTCATTCCGTACTTTTACGTATCCAAACCACCGAAGAATTCCTTATTTAATACTAGTCTATACATCATGTAAACCACATTTTTCTTTTTGAACTAATTCCAATCCTTATCATTCATAGTTATCCCTACACTTAATGACCGCTTATCTTAATGACCGCATTTTTACAGCACTAATTTTATTTTCACGCTTCTTCTGTTAAAAACTTTCTCTTTCAACTTTCACCACCTTACATTAAGGGAGGGATTAGCATTGTCAATTGCAATATGTGCCTTTTGACACTTTCGGAATTCCCACATATTTAAGATTCCCATTTACTCAAGGCACAGGACCTATTGTAGTGTGGGTAATTGCCCATGACCCACTCAGAAATAAAAGAATGACTGTGTCCTGCAGTGGAACGTATATAGATTGTAAGTTTACTTTTTCAATTCTGTTAAAGTTTTAATTAATTTTAAGGGTTGCATCGTGCTTTCATTATATTTTGTAACTTCGTTACAATATCTTGATTACCGCTATAGTCAATCAAAAGTCCATTACTGAACTGCTATAGTTGCCACGCTTGGCAGGCGGGAGTCAGACGCTGTTGCTCATCTCCTGGTTTGTTTTCCTCTATCGCTTCTTACGACACCCACGAGACGATATGGTGTAGCAAATATTCTTACACTACCACTTCATGCCAAATTAACGTAATTAATACTTTATAAATATTTGTATCAATTCTAATAAGTAACAAAGATAAATCACGAACTGTTATTAGATAATCTCTGAATAATCAGAATTAACATCTTAATGGAATAGAGCAACGCTCTTTACTTAGATGTCATTTCAGATTTCCGATTCTGAACTGAGGACGTTTGCTTGTTATACTATATAATGAAGCTTAAGATATGTATATCTTATATTATTTACAAGTAAACGTAAAGAGTCAATTTAATTGCCACTAACCATATTGTAAGCGACGCATTATAAAATATTTATTTTTTGTGTGACTGTTTGTTCTCTAATGCTATTTATATACTATGCATATTGTTTGATTCTTGTGTGCCGTCATGTTAGAAATAAATTAAGTAAGAAGCGCTCGAACAACCGCTGCACCTACAAGTACATTATTGGATCATTCCTTCCACGGGCAGTTGCGCACATACACTCGTTGCACGCGGCACGGTTCTTCGAACGACTTTAATTTACTTGTGAAATCGTGGTTTCATTCTATAATCTATAAATTGATCCTTCGCGCCAAATCTAACCAGGACTATGTTTAGTACTCCACCAAATAATAGAATTATGTCAATAAAAAACCGCGAAAAGTTAAACGAGAGATTAGAAAACGCGTCCGAGCTCGTGCTTGCGAACGACAGAGTTGCGGGCAGTTTGCAAAAAGTTGAACCTTCTGGAAATAAAGTTCCATCTCTGCAAAGATCGACTAAAAATGAATCGGTCACCTCGGCCACGGAGTCTTCATCGTCACGCTTAAGACGTAAACAGCTTGAGCTGGCAGCTCCTGAGGAAAAAGCAAGAATTCGGATGAAGCTTATTGACAAAAAGCTTGAGTTTGATTTAGCAAAGATGGAAGGCAGCCGTGCGTCAGAATGTCAATCAAAGACGAGTCAAGTTAATAGAAGCATCAAGAAGCAGCCTTTTGTGAACCAGCAGCTGGAGACCAGAAATTTGCAGCCGTCACCTTCACTCCAACATAAGGTGGCAGCGACGGCGACATCGGAGGCAGCGACGGCGACATCGGAGGCAGCGCGGGCACCTTATGTTGACCCAGTCCGTGCACCGGCCCACCACACGCCTGTCGACAGTATCCTTCAACTCGCTCACACATTCAAGGACATCATGATTACGTCCTGTAGTAATCAGGAGGAACGATTGCTTACCCGACTGTCTACACCTAGAGAACTACCTGCATTTAGTGGAGATTGCATCGAGTGGTTGCACTTTAAGAGTGCCTATGAAGAATCTACATATGTATGTCAATTCAGTGACTTCGAGAACCTATGGCGACTACGTCGAGCACTCAAAGGTGATGCCAAGGAGGCAGTTACTGACCTATTAATCGGCAACACGTCACCAGCTGTTGTCATGGAGGCACTGGAACTGAGGTTTGGTCAATCTGATTTAATTATTCAATATCTCACTTCTCAAATGAAAAAGCTATCTCCATTGTCTACTAATTATCAGCATGATATCATTTTGTTTTCAATGAAAGTTAATAACTGTGTCGCAACCCTATACGCATTAAATCAGCATGATTATCTACGTAGTCCAGAACTGTCAGCTACAATACTCTCCAAGCTACCTAGTATATTGTTAAGTAAATAGACGGACTACGCATATAATAAGCTATCATGCAATATACCTAAGCTTCAAATTATAGCTTCATTTCTGAAGCAAGAAGCTGAAAAAGTTTCAGTTGTAGGAGTCACACATTTGCGAGACTATAAAAAAACCGAACCCATACCACCTGGCAGAAAGTTTGAGGATAAATCTCGCTTCAATAATTACAACCGACCCGTCTTAACTACAACCTCGAAAACAACCAGCACTAAGTTATGCAATTATTGTAAGAAATCGATGCACATATTACCTGCCTGTCGTCTGTTTAAAAGGGCTATGAGAAAAGATCGATGGAGGTATGTAAAATCGAAGGGCTTATGTTATTGCTGCCTACTAGATAGACATGATCAGACATCTTGTCCGGTGGCCTTATGCGACATAGACGGCTGCGGACTGGCACATCATCGTTTGCTTCATTTTAAAAAGCCTAATGCACCTGCACACACTGGGCAGCGACGCCGCCTCCTCTAGTGGCGGTCATACTAGCGGCAGTGAAGTGCTACTAAAAGTGGTAAAAGTGAATATATGTGGCCCAAGTGGCAGTGTAACGACTTACGCGTTGTTAGAAGATGGTGCATCCGTATCGATGATCGATAAAAATCTAGTTAAGGAAGAAACCAGTGGCCCGAGGACCTTAAGCGTATCAGAGCTCTAGAGGAAGCGATATGTGAGAAACGGTCAGTGCATGTGGTCGTTGAACACGACACCTCAAATTTACCTTTGCCTAACGAAGATAATATCTCGAGTTGGACCACTCTTGTGCGCGCCACGGCCAGAGTCTTGCTATTCATTAGAAGATGTCAGCGTAAAACTTGTGAACTTTGATTTACTTTGAAATCGTGGTTTCATTCTATAATCTATACATATTATTTAATAAATCTTTAAGTGAAGGCGTTTTTCCATCCAAATGGAAAGAAGCGCACATCATTCCTATCCATAAAAAAGGCACTAAAACTAAAATCGACCATTATCGTCCCATCTCTATCCTAAATACATTGGGGAAGTTATTGGAGAAAATTTTATATGCCAATTTATATCCAATTGTAGCACGAGCAATTCCTAATAAACAACATGGATTTATGAGCAATCGTTCTACTACTACTAATCTTAGCATTTTTACCAACGACATATTAAACAGCATGGATGTAGGTGCACAGGTTGACGTGATCTATACGGATTTTGAAAAAGCCTTCGACAGAGTGGATCACGTTATCTTGTTGCATAAATTACAGGTATTAGGTATCAACGGAGACTTACACCGCTGGATAAAATCATATATATCTAATAGGAGACAAGCAACAACTGTTGGCGGGTGCAGATCAGACTTTATAACTATAAAATCTGGAGTACCACAAGGTTCTCATTTAGGCCCACTCCTCTACAATGCTTATCTATTTGATATACATTCATATCTTAGGCATTCTAAATTTCTAATGTTTGCTGACGACAAAAAAGTTTACTATAACGAAAGAAAAATTGAATATTGTATACTACTTCAAAATGACTTAGACAGTTTAGCAAAATATTATAACAGTAATAGAATAAGCATCAATGTGGAGAAGTGTAATCAAATAACCTTTACACGTAAAAAAAATCCGGTATTATTTCAATATACAATAAATAATATTCCCCTACACAAATCTTGTAGGGTTAGGGATTTAGGAGTAATTTTGGATTCCAAGCTCACAATGGTGGACCATATAAACTGCATAACAGAAAGAGCATATGAAATGCTAGGTTTTGTATTTAGAGTGTGCAAACCTTTCAGTGATATCAAGTGCATAAACGCCATTTACTTTGCATATGTAAGAAGCTTACTCGAATATGCGAGCTGTGTATGGTCTCCACAGTACGCAAAGCATATTGATGCCATTGAATCCATCCAGAAAAAATTCATTAAATACCTAAATTTCAAAATGTTTAGTTTTTACGGATTTCTACCATTAAGAGATCGGCGCGAATTGCTCGATATGTTATTTTTGCATAAATTGCTCACAGGTCAAATAGATTCTCCGGAGCTGCTATCGATGATATCGCTTAATGTACCTTCAAAGCGCACTCGTCATACAAATAAACGTTTATTCCATGTACCTTTGTCGCGTACCAGTTATTCATCAAACTCAGTTCTGTCTAGGATACTACATAATTACAACACAAAATTTTCTGATATAGATCCCTTTAATTCGACCACATATAGTTTTAAACACGTCGTCATCAAAAAGCTTATGTAACATCAATTTAGCATGTTAATTTATATAATACTAAAGCATTTTACACACACATCAACCACACACACAGACACACACTCTCTCTCACAAACGCATATACACACAAATTATATATATATATATATATATATATATATATATATATATGTATTTATGTATGTATGTGTATATGTATATATATATATATATATATATATATATATATATATATACCTATATATTTATTCGTTACCTTATGTTCACAAAAGGCAAGTAGATGAGAAAGTTGTGTTTGTTCCAGTAAATGCACGTCGCTTGGAGAAATTTAGAAGTAACATAGTGAAAAAACTTCCATCACTTTCATACCTAAATGATCCAAATTATTTGTATGAAACATTATTTAAGCTTATTTGCAATGAATTTAATAATACTTTTACTTCTAAAATATTCTCCTTGAACAGTCGGAAGTCATTTAATGAATGGGCGACAGTAGGAGTCCATAAGAGCAGACATAGGTTATATGATCTTTACCATGAAAAGTCATATAATCATAGCGTCGAATTTAGGGAATATGTGAAAAAATATTCAAAAATATTTAAAAGAGTGTGCTCCACAGCCAAGTCTTTGCATTGCATTTGAGCAACAAAATTAAGACGGCTTCTAATAAAATTAAAATGACATGGAGTATAATTAATAGCGAAACTGGTAAGATCAAGTCTCGCAATTCAAACTATCAGTTAAGTGTTAGTAACAAATTAACCGAATCAGATTCAGGACGTTGCAATGGTTTTCGAGAAATATTTTTCTGATATTCCGATATTAACCACTAAGTCACTGAATTCTTCTCCTGCGGTCGCCGAATCATTACTTAAACAAAATGTAAATGCGTGTACAAAGAATTTTGCATTTCATAAAGTATCATCAAAAGATATTGTAAAATATTTTAAAACTATTGATGTTAAGAAAACTGCGGATCTGTGGGGGATTTCCGTTAAAGTTATTGCGTCTATAATAGATACAATCGCGCCTCATTTAGCTATTATTTTTTAATCTAGTATCGAATCTGGTGTGTTTCCTGATTTAATGAAGTATAGTAAAGTAATACCTTTATTTAAATCCGGTAGTACATTAGACCCCGCCAATTTTAGACCTATTTCTGTACTACCAACACTTAGTAAGATTTTTGAAAAAATTTTCTTGATCAAATGTTAAATTTCTTTAATATAAATAATTTACTTCATAAAAATCAATTTGGTTTCACAAGGGGTCGCTCGACAACTGATGCCGGTGTTGAGCTGATTAAATATATCTTTAATGCATGGGAGAATTCACAGGATGCTTTGGGTATATTTTGTGACCTATCCAAAGCCTTCAATTGTGTTCATCATGAAACATTAATCAGGAAACTTAAACACTACGGTGTAAGAAGTGATGCTCTTAAATTAATTATTTCATATTTAAGTAAGAGAACGCAAAAAGTTGTCATTAACGGTATGAGTTCTTCCGGGTCGATGGTACAGATGGGCGTGCCTCAAGGCTCAATTCTCGGCCCCTTTCTGTTTTTTGTATACATTAATGACTTACCTTACATAGTAGGAGATAGCCATGATATAGTATTATTTGCAGATGACACTTCTTTAATTTTCAAATTAAGTCGACATTTGCTAAAATATGACGAAGTAAATAATGCTATATTTAAATTAGTAAATTGGTTCAATGTTATTAATTTGCATTTAAATGGCACTAAAACGAAATGTATGAAATTTATGACTCCAAATGTCAAACAATTAAATACTAATGTAATTTTAAATGGGGAGAAACTGAGTCTTGTAGAGACCACCATTTTTCTTGGAATCACACTAGACGTGAAACTTCAATGGAGCCCCCATATATCAAACTAGCAAGCAGACTTAGTTCTGCAGCATATGCCGTAAAAAAGATTAGAACTCTAACTAGTGTTGAAACAGCTACACTAATTTACTTTAGCTATTTCCATAGCATAATGTCGTATGGTATTTTGCTATGGGGACACGCAGCTGACACTGAAATTATATTTGTTTTACAGAAGAGGGCCATAAGAGCAATTTATGATTTAAAGCCTAAAGAGTCGCTGCGACAAAAATTTAAGGAAATTAATATATCAACATTTACCTCTCAATACATTTATGAAAATGTAATGTACGTATACAAAAATAAAAGTAGTTTTACAAAAATAAGTGATATTCATTCTGTAAATACTAGGAACAGACACAAGCTAGTAATACCAGTTACTCGACTCCATCGAGTCAGTAATTCATTCTTGGGGTGATGTATACGCTTTTACAACAAAATCCCAGAAAATATACAAAATTTGACCTGCTCAAAGTTCAAAAACTTTATTAAACTAAGTTTGTATAAAAAGGGTTATTATAATATTAATTTGTGTAACAAACATGATTGCTTACAATCATGTTTGTTACACAAATTATTTTAAAAAAAAGTCCCGCTGGGTTTCTTGCTGGTTCTTCCCAGGACAGAGGTTTTTTTTTCGAACCAGTGGTAATCATACAAAAGAGTGACTTTCAATAAGTATTATTTATAATCTATATTGAATAAAAAACTTTCTGTTTCTGTTTCTATATGTATATATATATATATATATAAATATATATATATATATATATAAATGAGTATATATATACACATATTTTTAAATTACTCTTTCTGCTCGTACTCTTAAGTTATGATTTTTAAGTAAGAAAACTGTAATTAGCTTTAATTTAAAACTAAGTAAAGGTT